TGCCATGATTATACAGCATATCATTTATGTGCCATTGGTTGGGCAGAGGGTGCTGTGCCATAGAGGCCGGTCTCTAACCAATCACTGTGAGGTTATCTCATGGATCATATCTGTTATATCAGGTAAATGCGCTGTGTGGTAACCCATAGCAACCAATCCTGGCTGCTCTATGCTGCCGAATGGCCAAGGTGTGACTCGTTGCTAGGAGATACGGCACATCATGGCCACTCATCCCCCATGTCTGACAGTCTCATCCTCCCTCCAGGTGGAACCTGACCAGACTGTCTGCTGATCATCATCATCATCATCCACCATCTGACAGCCGTCTATAGGGGCCGGGGCAATGTAAACGTGGCGTGATTGCAGGTTCGTCATGATGTCACTAGGAAGGTATGTGCGGCCTGAGCGGAGGAGAGATAATTCCAGCATGCAGGTGCGAGCCCAACACTGTCCTCCGTCTTCACTGTTCTCACAGGGACCCCGGACTGAGGGAGGGACGGAGCCTGGGAATGATATCTGATCTGTGTACTCTGTGCACGCTGAGATTCACCTTCTGATACTCCATACGCAGTGGGATTCACCCTGTGGTACTCTGTACACGCTGAGATTCACATTCTGATACTCCATACACAGTGGGATTCACCCTGTGGTACTCTGTGCACACTGAGATTCACCTTCTGATACTCCATACACAGTTGGATTCACCTGTGGTACTCTGTACACGCTGAGATTCACCTTCTGATACTCCATACACAGTGGGATTCACCCTGTGGTACTCTGTACACGCTGAGATTCACCTTCTGATACTCCATACACAGAGGGATTCACCCTTTGGTACTCTGCCACGTGGAGATATACCTTCTGATACTCCTTACACAGTGGGATTCACCCTGTGGTGCTCTGTACACACGGAGATTCACCTTCTGATACTCCATACACAGTGGGATTCACCCTGTGGTACTCTGTACACGTGGAGATTCACCTTCTGATACTCCATACACAGTGGGATTCACCCTGTTGTACTCTGTATGTGGCGAGATTCACCTTACAGTCCTCTGTACACCATGGGATGGGCTTTGTACACGGTGACATTCACTTTAAAGTAATCCATACACAGTGAGATTGACCCTATGGTGCTCTGTACACAGCAATATTCACCTTACTGTATACTGTGCATGTGAGATTCACCATACAGTACTCTGTACACATGAGATTCACCTTACGATACTCTGTACATGGTGTATTTGACCATACAGTTCTCCATACACAGTGATCTTCACCTTACAGTTCTCTGTATATGTGAGATTTACCTTACAGTACTCTATACGTGTGAGATTCACCTTATGATGCTCTGTACATGTGAGATTTACCATACTGTTCTCAGTACGTGTGAGATTCATGTTACAGTACTCTGTACACGTGAGATTAACTTTATGGTACTCTGTATCTGTGAGATTCACCTTACAGCACTATGTACGTGTGAGATTCACCTTATGACGCTTTGAACATGTCAGATTTACCATACTGTTCTCAGCACATGTGAGATTCACGTTACAGTACTCTGTACATGTGAGATTCACCTTATGGCACTTGTATGTGAAGGATTCAGCATACTGTATTCTGCACATTGAAATATTCACCTTGCGGTACTCTTACGGCATGATGAGATTCACTTTATGATACTCTATATGTGATTCACTTTATTGTTCTCTACATGGTGAGATTCACCTTTCAGCACTCTACACATAGTGATATTCACCTTACTGTACTCTGTACATGTGAGATTCACTCTAGAGTACTCTGTATATGTAAGATTCTGTACACGTGAGATCCACCTTTTGGTACTCTGAACATGTCAGATTCACCCTACTGTTCTCTGTACACACGTGATTCACCCTACTGTTCTCTGTGCATGTCAGATTCACCCTACTGTTCTCTGTACACACGTGATTCACCCTACTGTTCTCTGTGCATGTCAGATTCACCCTACTGTTCTCTGTACACACGTGATTCACCCTACTGTTCTCTGTGCATGTCAGATTCACCCTACTGTTCTCTGTACACACGTGATTCACCCTACTGTTCTCTGTACATGTCAGATTCACCCTGCTGTTCTCTGTACACACGTGATTCACCCTACTGTTCTCTGTACATGTCAGATTCACCCTACTGTTCTCTGTATACACGTGATTCACCCTACTGTTCTCTGTACATGTCAGATTCACCCTACTGTACTCTGTACACACGTGATTCCCCCTACTGTACTCTGTACACGTGATTCGCCTTACTGTGCTGTGTACATGTATGTGAATGGGACCTGCAATCACTTTCCAGTGTGCGGGACATTTCCGCAGCTCGTCTGTCGGGTCATGTACGAAGTCCCCAGTCACACCATCATGTAGCGGTGAATGCGCGTTCCAGTGGCGCCCATTCCCGCGCATTTGCAGGTGTTTGCGTCCTGCGTTTGGCTCACGTCCCCATTGGGGTGCTGCACATGCCCTAAACGTGGGAAAAGTAGCTCATGTAACAAAATTTGCTACATGCGTTCCGTGGCTTTTTCCGCACCTTTGTGCGCATTTCCCCCGCGCGTCCACGTGTCTGCAGTGCCATTAAAAAGTAATGGTACCGCAAGCGCGCTGCCAGTTTTGGACACTTTCCGCGAACGCGCACATCTTTTTCCGCATTTTCTGTGAATTCACGGAACGCAATGGTGTGAATATCTCGAGCAGCGCCCATCCAATTTGGAATCATTCGGTGTATGGCCGGCCTCAGATTCGCCGTTGTGCGTCACAAGATGACAGGCGATCCGTCACCAAAACCAGCCCGGCGAGCTCGCCCTCGACCCGCTGAGGAATCTGGTGAATGGACGGGAGATCCGGCCGGCGGGAAGATGGCAGCCAGACTCCAGACAGCCTGACCCCTGCGTGAACCCCCCTTCAGCCGGCTGTCCCGGCGCTGTATTGGGGCGTACGCCCCCCCTCGCGC